AGCAAGCAGAGCCACACCTTCCAGAAGCAGTGCAACAGGGTGAACAGCCAGCAGCAACTTCAGCAATGGAAGAGCAAACAAGTGGCGCAACCGCATCAGCAAATGAGCAATTCGTTGTTGTGAGACTTGCCACAGAATACCTGGAGCAATTCATTTCTCTTGGTTCTTGGATTTTTGCTTGGCAGCCAAAGAAAGCAATGAGAACAGAATCTGCGAAGGCGTGCATTGTTGACACCGCCAGTGGCTTAATCATTGCTACTGCCAAGCTTTCCGTGATTTCACCTGTGAGCAGCTTTGTTCAACTACGCTCATGCCGACCGTTCCAAGCTGCAGGCCAACTGCAGAAGAACACCTGGAGAAACCGTGGCTAGTTTGATCTACAGTATAGTTTGGTGTGGTTTCGTATCTTTGCAGCTTTCTTTACTGTGCTGTAGCTTTGGTTGGCAATTTGCCAATTTGGCTTCCCCTGTCCGGGAAAATTGCAAGCTTTGGTGCTATATGCATACAAAACCAGTACAGTACTGACACTGTAGTGCAACATAGGTTAGCTCACCATGGGCCTCCCAATATTCTAACTGCACTTTCTCTTAGCCTTTCAAATCACAGTCGCCTTTGACATCCGGTATCCGGTATTCTTTGAAAAGGTCTCCAAGAAAAACTGCAGGTATCACTTCAGGGAACAGCCTCTTTGAATGGACGATCACGGAGATTGACAGGTTCAGTGATTCTATGGTGGTGGAAACAGGGGCAGGGCGAACGGCGTATGTAAGTGCACGTGATTTTAGGAGTGCAGCACCATCTCTGCAAGCATTGACGTTGAAGTCATCCGCTGAGTATTTTGTGGGCCGACTGTCAGGTAGAGACAGGCAGCTTTTACGAGAAAACCTACAAAGTCTACATGGCAAGCGACTGACCTTTGGAAGCACCTGCAGTGGCACTGATATCATTGTGCCGGTGATGAAGCAAACCATCTCAGTGCTTTGCAAGCTGTTCAATGTGCCATAGCTCCATAGCTAATGTACTGTAGTGCCAACCATTGTGTTCAACTCTGTAGTACTGTACCGAGAGCTGTTAGCATCGCTTTTTTTGCAGGGCCTTGGTTTGGAAACGGGGATCGAGAAGCAGACGACCTCAGGTGTCTATTGAGGTGGTTCATCTTTTCAGTGTTGAGTTCGAGAAGCAGAAGCGGGAGTTCATCATGGACGCACATGGAGATAGTGGCTTTCATCTCTTCCATGATGTGGCAGTCTTTAGAGATGGTGGTGAGTCTTTCTGCGATGTTTGCCAACAGTCACATGCAATTCCAACTGCTACGGATGTGCTTGTTTCTGGGCCTTCTTGCAAGAACATCAGCAAAGAGAACCGTCGACGGTCTGATTACCTGTCATGAATCTTTGGCCGAGCTCAAAAAGTTTTCTGCAGGAATTGAACCCGCGTATATTGTACTGTTCTATACAAACCAAACGGGTTGGTGAAGTGGGTTGCTGTATCTAGTGTGTCTATTACAGTACATATATTGTGCTGTCGAGTATTATAATTTTACAGTACAGTACAGTACAGTAGATAGATTTATATATATATATAACCGGAACTGTTAGTATATTCTATCTGCACTTGGAAACACATTCACACCAGTGCCCACATAAGGTTGGTAGGTGATGGCAATACTCGATGGTTGGATGAATGGATGGCAATACTCTGTTCTGCACTTAGCTGTCCCAATCTGATGACACTTGCATCTAAGGCTACGAGGATGGAAGTGGTTGCAGTGGTTTCACCTACGAATACGGAGTCAAGGAAGCTGTTGCAAGAACCTGTCCAGCAGTAGTGATTTTCGAGAATGTTACAGGTCTCTTGGACAGACCCAAAGATGAGAACGGGCAACTCTTGCAACCTCAGATTGAGGCGGTGCCTTCCAAAAAACAATTTAAACAGTGTGTTTCTAGTACAATATGTTTACAGTATGCTATTGCACTGTGCACTATTAATGTACTGTACTGTAGATAGGATCTATATAACCAGAACTGGTTAGATATTCTAATTGCACTTGGAAACCGATTCACACCAGTGCCCTCACAAGTTTGGTAGGTCGTGACTTCTGACTTCAAGAATCTCGGGTATGTGTTCCAATACTCGAAGCTTGTTGCAAACCGCTATTTGCTGCCACAACGTCGTACCAGAATTTATGGCACAGCTGACCTGGATGAAGGGCAATCAGCCAAAGGTTTCCATCAAAGAATGTCAACCACATTGATGGATATGTCGGGCGACGGTCAGTTTGATCATGATGCGGTATTTCTGAGGGATTTGCCAAAAACACCTTTGCAGGGGAATGCTGCCCGCCTTGTGGAAGAAGCTGTGAGTAAGGGCGCTTTGCAGAATGAATCGAACGACCTGTTTGTAGATACTTCAGGGCTGCTTTGCAGCGAGCAAGTGGGGTCGCAAGAGGAAGCTTCACAAGTGGGATTTGTTCTGCGAGATCGCTCCGAAGCAGGCCAAAGTGATGACAGAAATACCAAACAGTATTCGCAGTTTGCTAGGAGTACCGCTCAAGCACACCAATTCCAAGTTCAAGGCGGCAGAGGGAACTCACAAAATTCCAGATCCTCTGGCTCTTGCTGTTGAAGAGCTACTTTTGGAAAGAATCCAGCTTGGTGAGGAGGTCGGGTTTGACTTTGCCCAGGACGTCTTGCTACATGCAGTGCAAGAATGGAATTCTCAACTTGAAGCGCTTCGAGATGATGTCCGCACATCGCTTGGACCCCAACTCCTACAAGTTCATGACCAAAGTCTACCAGAGAATGCGTCAGAGGAGAGCATACAAGCAGTGCAAGATGCAGTCGAATTTGGGATTTCAGTCGACGGGAACTCAAGGTTTACGCGCTCAGGCTGTTTGATTACAAAATATTTTGCATTAGTTGGGGTTCACATTGGCGGCGGGTGTGGTTTCTGTTTTTTGGCTCATTGCCATTCAAATAGAAAACGTATGAAAATGGTCTTTGTCTTAAACACCATGTCTCATCCAAGGCTCAGCATTGAAGACAGCTTGCGTGCTGATGCATGGGCACTGAAAAAGATCCAGGAATACCAGGGGGGCAAGATTTTGATGTGGAGTTGGCTTTCACGTGGCCTGACAACCATTGAGCAGCAAGCAGAGTGGAACTTCCAAGGCAATGTTGAGCACGCGAAGTCCGCTTTGCAAGCCACGCCAGGTGCTTTGGCTGAGCTCTGTGATCTGGAGGAGGTTCCGGATGTTGACTGCTCTGAAGAAAAGTCACAAGTCATCCAAGCTTAGCCAATCATGGATGGAGAGGTCACAAGTGCATGGGCCATTGCTGACCCATCCAATGCTGAGTCCAAGCCAATCTTTTTGCCAGGTTGGTTCCGGCATCCAATTGACCGGGCCATTCTGCTTTGGCAGGAGGAATCCAGACGTTGGGAAGATAAGAAGGCAAAGCGGCTAGCAGAAGGACGGAGCGGTTTAGCTCCCAAGATGCAGGAAGCTTTTGACGAGTGGAGTGCTACCAAGAGCAAAACCATAGTGCTCAACAAAAAAACACATGGTCAGGCGGTGAACTTCAACAACAAGCCGATCTCACAACTCAAGAAGAGTTGCTTGATGATTACGATCCACATGAGTGAGACTGCTGAGGGCTTGGCCATCCAAGCCGGTGATGGCAAGTTGTGGCAGCTCAAGATGATGGAGGGCGTGCTTCCTGCTGGCGATTGCATTCCTCCTGAGGTTGACCAATTCACAGGACTGGGTGGAGGGCGTCTGCTGCTTGTTGTGCAGCAAACTTTCCTTCAGAAGGGCGGATTCTTGCTTTTTGCAGTCCTGCTTCACATTAGCATTAGCGAGAAGCACAACAATAAAGATGCACTTTCACGGTACCATTGGTATGTGTATTGTATTGTATACTTCCATGGAAGGCATACAAAAAAAATTGCAGATAGAATATGAGTCAAAGCCAGGAGATCTTCCGCCTGAAGAGCATGATGATGAACCTCAACTTGTAGATGAACCCGTACATGGTGATGCTGACGCTTTCCTGCATGATGAATTCAATGATGGTGATGATGAGCGTGACCCGGACATGAACAAGTGGCTTCTTCTTGAAGACTCTGAGGGGTCTGATGGGTCCGAGGAAGAAGAGCCACCAGAGCTTCTTGCAAAGGCCTTTGGCACCTTTACTCGGGCGAGGGCAGTCGAAAAGCAGCCAGAATTCCAACGGCTGGCAGAACTAGGATTGGCTGTGAGACCGCCTGGCTGTTGGCTGGGCATACACCCGGCTGCTAAAGTATGGAGATCGGCAAGCACAGGGTCTCCCTATTTCAGCAGAAGCTTCAATCCAACGCCCGGTCGAGACGCGTGGCAGGCTCTCCTGCGTGTCTTCGAACTCATGTTGCAATCATTTCTTGCCACCAACCCGAAGGAAAAGTTGGTGAAGCATCAACTTGCACGGATCCAAAGGCTCAGGCAAGAAGAGCCTGGCCATGCGGATTGATTTGCCACAGGGGTACCGTACAGTACTACAAACGCAGCAGCACGGGGAAAGGGAAAAGGTGCAGTTGCTGTGTGTGCCTGCTGACTTTCTTAGCAGTGCTGTAGTCTCCTTTTATTTCTCCTTTGTGGGGACTCAAGAACAGTGCAGATAGAATATTTCACAGTCTTTCCGTTGTTATGACATAGGATCATAGGATACTGTACAGCACACTGCACTGTATGACACGTTGTGGTCTTGAGCATTCCAAGGAAAACTTGTTGGTTTCTAGTTACTCCTTTTAGCTGCAATCTTTCATTCTTTAGGAGGATCAAGTTGACAGGATCACTTGTGGTCTCTTGCATATTCTAACTGTGGCGGCATATTCTTACTGCAATGCTCCAAAATAATTAAAATTTTCAAATTCTAACTGCATTATAATTATTTAGAGCTATTCTAACTGCCTGTCCCTTATAGTATACACATGTTCATGTAAGTACTACAGCTCCATCGCTGAATGCAGCAGCAAATGCAAGCAAGCGGCCAGCTTCCTTCCTTCCTTCCTTCCTTCTTTCCTTCCTTCCTTCGCCTTGCTTTTACCACAGGGCAAGCTTGACAACCTGACGGTCCTCAAGGGTTTACACTAGTCACTAGTGTATACTTCCATGCAAGAACGTGGCCGTTTGTGCACTTGGCAGCTCTGATCGAAAGACCCAGTCAAGCCAATCGTGAGTTGGAAATCAAGCTAGTCATTGAGTGGAGGGGCAACAGGTCATGCCAAGATCCTAAGAGGTGTCGAGGGCGCCCAAGCAGATGATGGCGACAGAAGATGATGATCAGAAGGCAGAAACTGAAAAGGTTCAGACAGAGAGCAACACCACAAGGTTTGTTGTATCACAGCGCCTGGTCTGATAAAGGGCCAATCACCGATAATCGCCTGGGAGATTCCGACCAACAGGCGACTTGGGTCAAGATCGCTGAATGTAGCGCGTGCGACAGCAGCTCGGCATTTTGCACGCGCGAAAGAGAGAGGGAGAGAGAGAGAGAGATGTGTGTCCACTCCGCATCATCATGACTTGTTGTGCATTCTTGAAATTTCTTGTGATTTTTTTACGTCCATGGGCCACGTTTCAGCCTTGCCAGGGCCACGGCTTTGCTTTGGGCGCCACTAATGCAGGGAAGTTGGTGCCCGCGCAACTCCAGATATCGTCAGCCCCCCTGCTTGGACGACGCAACCCGTCGAAGGGCTTGGCCAACGACCGGAAACCCACGGTCACTGGGATCAATGTGAGCAGCTGAGATGTGCTGCGCAAGAAGGAGAACCTGAGCTGCTTGATGATTCGGGGTTTTGGGACCTGAACACTTTGTGATATTTGCGCGGCATTTGGTGTCGAATTTTTGTGAGCGCACCTCCAAATACACTTCGGAGCCAGTTTGCCAATAAGAGTGACCTGGTCCGGCACGCGCCCCACGCGCCCGACGCGGAGGCTGGCGCGGTGGGCTCGGCCGCTGCTTTTTATTGCTTATTTTTGTGGATCAGAAAGCCCGTTGGTTTTGGCCTGGTGCTTCTGACAGGTTTTCTCAGGCTGTGTTCGGACAATCCCTTCGCAGCTTGAGCTTCCGGTGCACTGGGGCCACAGCGACGCGCCCGAGATGGCTGGTAATTGGTCGCTTTCAAAAGGGGTCGTGGTGAAGCAGAAACCTCTTCCGGCGGCCTGTTCCTCCGCCGAAACATGAATTTCCTCCTTCGAGCCGTTTTCTGTTTCGCTGACGATCCAGTTCCTGAGATTCCTGCAAAACGCAGAGGATGCCCACTGATCGGGCTCAGCTTTGCCAAAAGTGAAGGTGCGATTTTGCAGCGTGAGTGCAGCTTGACAGTGGGACGAAGGATGATTGAGGGCTAGATGATACGCACCTTTGACCGGGTTAGTGTGTGCAGGGCCAGCCTCAAGCAGATTTTGAAGCCCCGCCAGAGCCAGGCGCTTTGAACGCTGTTTATTTTGGTCATATTTTTCTAGCCTGGGGATCTCCTGGTTCGCCCTCTTACCTGCTCGCCGAACAGAGCACTAGACTGGTGCAGGCATGGCCTTGTTCGCATGCAGAGAGAGGAGAGCGGGGGGGTAGTTGGGATGGGCAGATGACAGTGCCATGGATTGAACGTAGGAGATTGAAGTTATGATTCCTTTGGATCAAGCCTGATATTGCAATGTCGCAGACCAAAAGGCCATCCGTGTCACGCGGATGAAACAATCAGTGATGCAAACGAGGTGGACTCGTCCCGAAGCTGAGAGATCTGAGAGTGGTGTACAGTGGGACAGATTGCTCATGCCACGTCACCATGTGTGTTCCAGTAGAACCTCCTGCTGTTGTCCAGCGCAGCTCCGGAGCAATGGCTGCACGTGGCAGAAGGTCTGCCGTGACAGCAAAAAGAGTAATTCCAGATCGTCAATGTCCAGACGCAGCGGTGGATCGATGGCTCCGTGTAGCAGGGAGTTGCGCCGTATTTTGTGCTGCGCAACATCTTTTGTCTGCCCATGGCCCGTGGCGGCTTCCAGGTCCTTCAATCAACTTAAACCACTACATCGAGGCAGTCTCGATCCCCGAAGCTTTAACTTGAACGTCCTATGACAGCAACACACACACACACACTTATGATGTTGCGTACTGAACTGAAAGCGGCGCCGCACGCCAGCCTAAGTAAAAACCTAAGAAACCTGGACAGGTAAAGTATGGGGTTCCAAACCTCTCAAAGCCTACATGGCCTCCAACTCCAAATCGACACATCCAAAGCGACAATGCACGTCTGCCGATGATGAACCGATGCAAAGGCTGGTCATCTTGTTCTAGTTACAACGGGGCCCAATAGGAAATGAGAAGTCATCACGGAGCAGGTACAAGTGGTTGATCAGACCACTCATCCACCGAAATGCCATAGCTTCGTTGGACTGGATAGGCAAATCGGCTCCAGTCCCCCTGCTTTAAAAGAAAAACAATCAGAAACAATTCCAAGAGGATCCCTGTGACTACAAGGGGCGCACACACACACACGCCTCTCCGAGGGGAGACAAAAAGAATTAAGGCTAGGACGGTTGTGTAAATGTGCGCGCGGCAAAGACAAAAGGGTGAAGACATGAGAAGGAGGACAAGACGGGACAAAAAGGTGTGTGGCTGCAATCAAAGAGAAACCAAGTGCACAGGGACAATCGAGGAACCCCACCTCATTGTAAAGACCTGGGCGACGTGAAACTTATGTTAAAAATGTATGTAGAAGTGCACGTACACACTGAGGCCGGGACCAATGTGCGCGCAAACGACGAAAAGGATGAGATGACCAGACGTGAAGACACAAAGACATGAAAGAAAAGAGGAAACCAAAGGTGTGTAGTAGGGGAAAAGGATGAAAAGGGGGACGAGAACCGGTGAAGCCGAACCTCATTAGAAACACCCAGGAAGACCTCGCCTCGTTTGCGTGTATACGCTGTGTGTGCACCTAAGAATGGGACAGGTTCCAATGAACCTTGAGCAAGCTTTGGTCGCTGCGACCACGTGCGCCGTGCCAAAATGGCGGGCAGCTTTGACCGCTACGGTCGCGTAAAGGCATGAGAATTCCCAATGTGGACTTAAATCTGAGTTCTCTCGGCCTAGCTCTGTATCCGGGCAGGGATACGTTCGACAGGGAGGCACTCTGCGGGCTCATCGCGGGCTGGCATGAAGCCAGACACACTTGTGATGTTGTGTACTGAACTGAAAGCGGTGCCACACGCCACACGCCAGCCTAAGTAAAAACCTCAGAAACCAGGACAGGTAAAGTATGGGGTTCCAAGCCTCTCAAAGCCTACATGGCCTCCAACTCCAAATCGACACATCCAAAGCGACAATGCACGTCTGCCGATGATGAACCGATGCAAAGGCTGGTCATCTTGTTCTAGTTACAACGGGGCCCAATAGGAAATGAGAAGTCATCACGGAGCAGGTACAAGTGGTTGATCAGACCACTCATCCACCGAAATGCCATAGCTTCGTTGGACTGGTAGGCAAATCGGCTCCAGTCCCCCTGCTTTAAAAAAACAATCAGAAACAATCCAAGAGGATCCCCGTGACTACAAGGGGCACACACACACACACACCCCACGTGGAGCTGCGCTCTGATGCTTGCCATCAGAAGACATGAAGCGCTTGCACTTACACAGCACACACTCGGGAAGTGATGCGTACGAACTGACTGCGGTTTGCCACAGGCCAACCTAAGTGAAACACCTACGAAACAAGGGGTGATTGTATGTAAAGCGCTAAAACCATTGACCATGAACCTCCAAAGGCCTGAAGTTCCAAGTCTCAAAGTCCAAATGTACAAGGCAGAAAACGAAAACCGTGCAGTACTGCCGAGTGCATAACAGGTGCAAAGCCTGGTAGCTACAACCGGGCCCAGTGGGAATTAAAGGTCGCCACGTTGTCTCGCAGGTACGTGAGCTTTGGGTCCCGAGTTGATATGACAGACCACTGCAAGTGTCTTGTTAGTGCCAGACTTGCATGGCCATAATGTGACATGTCCTCATGTCGCCCAACATAGCCAAAAGGAGTGGGAAAGGCTGCTTGGGACGGGAGGAGAGCTATGAACGAATATTGGAGCGGCAAGTTGTGCGGAAGGAGGGGAGGACAGATTCATCGAAATGAACAGGTTCCGGCGCACAGCGCTTTTGGTACTGGGTTGGGGCTTCTAATTTTTTGCTTGGCCGTGGTGCCTTAAAAATAACAGCTGGGGCTATCTTCAGTGGTTGAAAAGGATGATGAATCATTACAGCAGTGCAGCTGATGTGCAGATGGCAGTGCTTGTGCAGATGTCCGTTCCATGCTTGTGATTCTGTCTCTTACCTGGCTCAAGCTTGGCGAGTGCTAAGCCAAACCCTTGGAACCAACAATCAACACAGCTCATGCCTAAGCTTTGTCTTCAGCGCACCTTCATCGACGAAGAAGATGAGATGCCCCGATTGCCTCGATTTCGTAGCTGCCCGGATCTTGTTGAACGTACCAAGTGGAGCGAGTGGCGGAGCCAGTATCAGGCCCCGAAAAATCCACGTGCAGAAACCATTTATGACTCATGACCTATGCTTTGAGGTTGAGCCAGTGGATTCAAAAGCCGGATATTATATACATAAATACACACAGACTTGTTTATTGTTTGCGGGTGGTACTGGTCCATCCGGTCCAGTCCCTTCCTGCCGCCCGGAAATAGGGATGTTGGCAAATCTCAGACGACGTTTGCGCACATTGTTTTGACCATTGCATTTTCTTTTTTGCGGAGCAATTCTCAACAAAACCGTTTGAAGTGTGCCTTGATTTGCTTTTGCATGCTTTTGCCAAAGTGGCATCGAAAGCACTCCAGTTGGGTTTCTCAGTGGATGCACTTGCTCAGCATGTTCGCCATCCGGAGTGGCAGATACGATGCTTCAGCATCATTATAGGTGTTAGGTTTGACTCCGGTCAATGTAGCAATGCCATGGTTGTCAGAGTTGTTACTGTATGGCCTGTTTTCCTCCACTTGTGCGGTCAGGTGCTCACGTTGCGGGAGCGATCGGAGAAGATTAAAGATGAGCAGAATGTGACGATCCAAGTTGCCGAGCCAGGCCGCCGGGCCAGTGCTGGCTGGAGCTTTGCTGTCCGGAGCTGGGAGCTGGCTGGAGCTGGGGTGAAAGTATCACGGTCATCCAGGGTCCAAGGAGCGTGCAGGAAATTTCTTGACCACTTAGTTCAGTTGTTGTTCTTCCAAACCTGCTTGCGGGTTGAATGATTGGTTCCCCGAATGATTAAGTAACCTCTGGCAGAACTGCGGGCCGGAAGCTTCCAATGTGGTGTCGGCGGGGGAGGGCCGTTTGCAGAAAGATGGCCTTGGCATGGCTCAAAACACCAGGGACCGTAGCTTCGAGTCTAGCTAGTGTTCTGCGTCTGCAGATTAGGGTGGATCCCATTGCCAGTAACCGTCGGTAAAATACTATGACTATTTTTGGGAAAGGCCCGCAACCGAACCATCATCATCATCCACTGGGCCCTGGTGGGATATACCCTAGTTCGGGTGGCAAGTCCTGCAGAACTATCAGAACTCTGCATGTCCTGGGATGATGTGGTTATTCTCGGTCACTGCACCCAGACCCAGCCCAACGAGTGCTTTCCAACGAATATCACGACCGACAGTTGATTACTTGGAATGACAGGAAACCCACTTGATACATCCTTGATTCTTCAGAATGCTGAGGCTTGCGTTCCCCAGTCCTGCTTCCCAACCACCGCCCACCAGGCGCATCGGAGGGGAGCTATGGACATCCTGAAGTATGTCGCCGACCCTGCATTCTGTTTGTTCGAGGAACTTGTCAGAAGGCCAAAGACCATGCGCTGTTGAAGACACGCTGGTAATATTTCTCGACAAGTCAATCAGGTCATTCGACATTTTTGACAAAAACAGGGTGGGCACTTATATTTGGAAGTACATCGTGCCTCACCGGGCAGGCGTTGGCCTCCTTCTTACAAACCCCTTGTTACAAATGGAACTTGCTTAGACCATCTTGAAGTCTGGGTAAGCCGTGGTTTCGACAGGTCCGAGTCTTCAGCCAACACAAACAATTGGCATCGTCGCAGGGTGCTGCCTGCGGCTTTTGCCATGGTCAACATACACAAAAACCCGCAAGCTTGGACAAGCAGCAGCGGGATGCCATGGACAAATGGCCAGCAGAAAGGTTGCTGGATCCTTGGCCAGCAGATGTTCGTGGCCGAATCTCCACCGATCCGAGGCTCTTAACGCCACGTCTCGTCAAGTCACGTCCGAATGTCTCGGTCTCGCCCAACTCGGAGATGTCCGGAGGCACCACGAACCTTAAAGGAGACAGAGGGTGCACACATAGAGTTCAAAGCCGATTGGCCAACTCATTTTGACCACCCACCGGGCCTACCGGGCCCACGACGGCTTCCGGATGCTGTGGACAAGGTCGAGTTCCGACGGGACACTGACAAGAGATAGTAATACATATTACCAAATACTGAACATCCATCCAGAGTCACCATCAACCTATCCACTGCCTTAAGTGAAGATTTGGGATGGCTTTGATTTCATGATTGTACTCGTCTACTGCCAACTATGGTGGGGACACCCTGTCCAATTTCTCGTAGTTTTGCCTTGAACCAACATGGAGGTGGACTGTGTGAAATGTGCAGGTTCGGTTCGATGCCTTGATACCTATATAACATGTCAGTCCTTTTGCCCTCGGCGCCTTCACAGAATCAGACCCTGACCACACGAGAAAAAACGCAGTCCGGTTTTGGGGGAAGGGAACGCCAGAGCATCAACATAGTCACGTCAGCTGTCCTTTGCCGAGTCTGAGGGTATGTATATGTTATATGTTACGTGTTGTATCGTGTTGCTGCGTTGAATATTTATAGGTCTATGGCTCCTCAAATTTAAGAGTAGGTAGGTATCGATGCTCATTCTTGAGCCATGGCCATAGCACATCTAGAGAGGAAGTCTGTCAGATGTTGAAGGAGGTAGATAGGTGGATTCCTCCATTCAGAAAACAGATCGAAAGTGTTTCAGTTTGTTGGCATTGCCTTCCTCCTACAAGCTCAGCCCCGGGATCACTCTGGAAAACCAGACTACACCGACTATACCCTTGTGAGCCTGTGAACTATGGAACAGCTGCCATTGATTTGTCCCATTCAGATGGTTATGTAGGCCTTTGCCTTGGCCCTCAGCTGAAATCCCATGGCAATCCACGGCGTGTTGCGTGGTGTTGTTTGGCAAAAGCTGGATTCCAAAACCGAGCAATGCAAGCGCTTGCTGGACGCTGCTTGTTTTCCAAGTGTGGGGCTTTGCCTGCTGCTAGTTGCCTCCTCCGCTCTGCTCAGGAAGTGGTGCTTCCCTGTTTGCAACAAAAGGTGGAGAAGATACACCTTCCAGCAGCCAATGATCTTCTTGAGCTTGTTGAACGAGAGCTGGCTATTCGCAGCTGGGGCCAACCCAGCAACCTGGTAGAAGGAGCTCAAGTGTAGTCCACCCCACGGGGCCAGGATGGATGGGTGATGTGTGTGATCGCCCTTTTGGAACCGAATGGAAGTGCGTGGCATGGCCCACTTTCCTCTAGAAAAGATGCTGGCACTGCCCATGGTGCAAACCGAAGAGGCTCGAAAGGCTCCTCAACACTGGGTGTCCCTGACGCATGCCTTGCTGGGGTGAATTGGAGCCCTGCGAAGTCTTCAGAGTTAGGTTGGAGAGTGGGTTAAACACCGGCGCAGTGGATTGAACAACTCTTCAGATTGGATGGTGGTTTGAATCCTGGGCGGATCAATCCCAATCATCAATTTTTTTCTCCAGATAGCGAAAGCTATTTGGGGTTCTTACTTCAAGTTTAGGGAAAGGGTGTTTGTGTGCGCTTTGCTATCTGGGGTTTATGCCATGCTCTCGTCACTTCCATGTCACGTTGGAGAGGCAGGTCCGAGCTCTTGATTTATTATATAGGGGCTTTGAGTGGCTTGAATACATTTTGATAGTGCTCTTTTTGCTACCTCTCAAAATGGTGGTCGACATGTGGGGCCCTTTCCAAAGCAAGCATTCTGGACTCAGAAACTTGCTCTTTTGAAGTCACAGTAGCTAGGAGGATGCCACACCAAGCTCGCGTGCTCCGTGCAGCCACTGAGGTATCCCCAAAACTCCTCGCAGGATCTGCTATGCCTGTGGGCGTATGTCTCTCTCGGCATTGGTCGGTTTGATTGGCTCAAGGATCACCAGTGGCCAATTTCCCAAGGTTCTGAAGAAGGCTCTCAAAGCTTTGCGTGAGGATATCAAGGAGTTAGATTTGCAAATTGAAGAGGACAAGATTTGAAGTGGTCTCCCTACGAATTGCTTTCACTGACCCCATCAATGGCGAGGTGACCCTTTTGGTTTTTCAACTCCACACCGCATCAAAGTTGCAGGCGTTCTTCGTGTTGCAATCTGCCAGGCAGTACGAACAGCAAGTGTTCGATTCTGCCAGTCAGTTGCATGCGTCCAGCACTTTCGAAACCGGTCGTCGGACATGTCGGCTCTCAGATAAAAAATCATTGAGACGACCCTGAGGGTGTATCCTGAAATGAAGAAACCGCTGCTTCTGTTTGGATTCAGGTTCTAAACCCTTCGTTGGATGAGAGCAGTCCACGTCGTGGGATGTCGGCTAAACGCTGTCGATAGTGCTTAGCGGCCAACCGCTAAATTTATCTATTCTATTGTGCTCAGCAATTGTAATTGACAGAATGAACAGAAACACCTAGCACCTGGCAAGACATGTGCTCGCACAAAGGAAGAGGGCGCAGTTTCAATATCGGAGCTTCTCCGATGGCTTAGCCCTCTTGCTTGAAGAGTATTGAAGATGTTATTGATCAGCATCCTGTTTCAATTTAACCTGTTGAAGCGTAATATGGAACCTGATTGATGTTGTGCCCTGGGTGTGGGGTGTTGTTGGCTTTGGGGGTTGTTGTGGTTTCTACAAATGGCTGTTTTGACTAAGATATCGATAGGAGAAGCCAAATCGCTTTGCAGTGGACGCTTTCACCAATACGTAGAAATCAGCGCCCACACACATTTAGCAGCACTCAGACCCTGCCACACATAGCCGATCAGCGCAGAGTGAAACATGGGAGTAGAGAAGTTCGGAGGGTGGGTCGGTGATGCTTGTTTTCTCCAAGTTGTTTACTGAAAAAGATTTGGTTGCTTTGGCTTTGACGTGAAAAACATTCAGACACACTGTGCTAAGTATATAATAACTTTATCATCCTTTACCTGTTGGTAACTATGATACCTTTACTGACATCATTCCCTTGACTGGAAACTGTCTTGCTTGACTAAACTTGATTAGATCGAATTAAATCTATGGGCTGCTGGAATGCATAGAAGCACCCTTACTTCGCCATCACAAGCAACCAGAGCGGCATTGGCGCAGACGGGGGTCTCCAACTCGCAAAGAGGGGCTGCGCAATCAGAGAAGCAACTTGACCCATGTGAGCAACATTGTCATGTGCCAATTGATTCAAAAGCGGCCTTGAGCTTAGCTCGGTCATTTGAATGTGGAGTCAGAATTCATGTGAGAACGAGCTTCAACCCCGTGAATCGAGAAACTTGAAGCGAGGTGATTTGCGAATTCCGACTCGACTCCAAAGAAGAAGTCCGGAAACGTCCGCAGGCGTTCTTCGTGTTGCAATCTGCCAGGCAGTACGAACAGCAAGTGTTCGATTCTGCCAGTCAGTTGCATGCGTCCAGCACTTTCGAAACCGGTCGTCGGACATGTCGGCTCTCAGATAAAAAAATCATTGAGACGACCCTGAGGGTGTATCCTGAAATGAAGAAACCGCTGCTTCTGTTTGGATTCAGGTTCTAAACCCTTCGTTAGATGAGAGCAGTCCACGTCGTGGGATGTCGGCTAAACGCTGTCGATAGTGCTTAGCGGCCAACCGCTAAATTTATCTATTCTATTGTGCTCAGCAATTGTAATTGACAGAATGAACAGAAACACCTAGCACCTGGCAAAACATGTGCTCGCACAAAGGAAGAGGGCGCAGTTTCAATATCGGAGCTTCTCCGATGGCTTAGCCCTCTTGCTTGAAGAGTATTGAGGAGGTTATTGATCAGCATCCTATTTCAATTTAACCTGTTGAAGCGTAATATGGAACCTGATTGATGTTGTGCCCCGGGTGGTGTGCTGTTGGCTTAGGTGGTTGTTGTGGTTTCTACAAATTGCTGTTCTGACCAAGATATCGATAGGAGAAGCCAAATCGCTTTGCAGTGGACGCTTTCACCAATACGTAGAAATCAGCGCCCACACACATTTAGCAGCACTCAGACCCTGCCACACATAGCCGATTAGCGCAGAGTGACACATGGGAGTAGAGAAGTTCGGAGGGTGGGTCGGTGATGCTTGTTTTCTCCAAGTTGTTTACTGAAAAAGATTTGGTTGCTTTGGCTTTGACGTGAAAAGCATTCCGACACACTGTGCTAAGTAATAACTTTATCATCCTTTACCTGTTGGTAACTATGATACCTTTACTGACATCATTCCCTTGACTGGAAACTGTCTTGCTTGACTAAACTTGATTAGATCGAATTAAATCTATGGGCTGCTGGAATGCATAGAAGCACCCTTACTTCGCCATCACAAGCAACCAGAGAGGCGTTGGCGCAGACGGGGGTCTCCAACTCGCAAAGAGGGGCTGCGCAATCAGAGAAGCAACTTGACCCATGTGAGCAACATTGTCATGTGCCAATTGATTCAAAAGCGGCCTTGAGCTTAGCTCGGTCATTTGAATGTGGAGTCTGAATTGTGAGAACGAGATTCAAACCCGTGAATCGAGAAACTTGAAGCGAGGTGATTTGCGAATTCCGACCCCAAAGAAGAAGTCCGGAAACGTCGGCAGGCGTTCTTCGTGTTGCAATCTGCCAGGCAGTACGAACAGCAAGTGTTCGATTCTGCCAGTCAGTTGCATGCGTCCAGCACTTTCGAAACCGGTCGTCGGACATGTCGGCTCTCACATAAAAAATCATTGAGACGACCCTGAGGGTGTATCCTGAAATGAAGAAACCGCTGCTTCTGTTTGGATTCAGGTTCTAAACCCTTCGTTGGATGAGAGCAGTCCACGTCGTGGGATGTCGGCTAAACGCTGTCGATAGTGAATAGTGCTTAGCGGCCAACCGCTAAACCCATCTATTCTATTGTGCTCAGCAATTGTAATTGACAGAATGAACAGAAACACCTAGCGCCTGGCAAAACATGTGCTCGCGCAAAGGAAGAGGGCGCAGTTTCAATATCGGAGCTTCTCCGATGGCTTAGCCCTCTTGCTTGAAGAATATTGAAGATGTTATTGATCAGCATCCTATTTCAATTTGGCCTGTTGAAGCATAGTATGGAACCTGATTGATGTTGTGCCCCGGGTGGTGTGCTGTTGGCTTAGGTGGTTGTTGTGGTTTCTACAAATTGCTGTTCTGACTAAGATATCGATAGGAGAAACCAATCGCTTTGCAGTGGACGCTTTCACCAGTACGTAGAAATCAGCTCCCACACATCTAGCAGCACTCAGACCTTGCCACATATAGCCGATTAGCGCAGAGTGACACATGGGAGTAGAGAAGTTCGGAGGGTGGGTCGGTGATGCTTGTTTTCTCCAAGTTGTTTACTGAAAAAGATTTGGTTGCTTTGAAGTGAGAATCATTCAGACACACTGTAATACCTTTGTCACCCTTCACCTGTTGGTAAATGTGATACCTTACTGACATCATTCCGGTGACTGGAAACTGTCTTGCTTGATTAAACCTGATTATACAGATTGAATTGCAGTCAATCTATGGGCTGCTGCTTGGAATGCATAGAAGCTCGTTCAAGCTTCATCACCCTTACTTCGCCATCACAAGCAACCAGAGCGGCGTTGGCGCAGACGGGAGTCTCCAACTCGCAAAGAGGGTGTGCGCAATTAATGAGTCAACTTGACCCATATGAACAACATTGTCAGGCGCTAAAGGGTTCAAAAGCGGCCTTGAGCTTAGCTCGTTCAATTATTATTTGTGGAGTCTGAATTCATTGGGATGTGGAGTCTGAATTCAACGCGATGCAAACCCGCGAATCGAGAAAATTGAAGCGAGGTGATTTACGAATTCCGATTCCACGGAATCAATGTCGATCTCCATGATTTGGAGAAATGTAGAACGAACACGTATTCGATTCTATGAGCTTAATTCATACGTCCAACGCTTTGCAGATTAGCAATCGAAATGATTCAAAAGGGATATATTATGTCGGTTTTTCTAATACGATATTTAATAAAAGAATAACTTTAATAATTCTAATGAATTAATTGGAATTTTATTGTAAAATTTTATTTATAATAATTATATTATTTGGATATTATACGGAATACTTTTAATATGCATATTATGAATTTATTTTAATTTTTTTATATTATAAATATATAAAATTAGGATTAATATATTTGCTACTTAAATATGTTTGAATATTTCTTTTTTATAAGGAAAATTGGATATATTATTAATTTTTGTTTGGAATATTTTATGGTTAATTTTTTTGTAATTAATCGATGGGAAAGAATTTAAATTCGAAGGATTAAATAAATTAACTAATATATAAATTCGACGTTTATATGGATATTAATATGCATTTTGAAAAATATATATAAAATAAAATTAAATCGTTATTTTGGAAATGAAATATAATGGAATTTTTAAATATTTTATAATAGGATTTCGTCGGGTCTGGGCAACTTTAATTATGTTTTGGTTGTTATTATGAAAGAGAATTTTTGAATTTTTGTTAATGATTGTTTGTTAAAGTAATGGAAGGAATGTTATAATTGCGGAATGTTTTGTTCGTAGCGATAAATGGAATGGTTTATATAAGTTCGAATTTTGTTATTATTTGTAATGGGAAATCGAATATGCGATTTTTGCATATACATTAGGAATTCGGAGATGTATTTTAATATATTATTATAATTAGTAAAATTAGTATCTGCAAATATTCTTGTGGAAAGGTTAAGAAACGAATCTTTTATCCATTTGATTATTTGTTTATTTATTGCACTATTTACGTAAAACAATATATAATCCAATTTGAAAATGAATCTCCTAACAGGGCGGCCCCATAAAACGTACCTAAACATGCATCTACCAATTTAATCGTATAACCTGGAATACATCCGTAGAAATCTTCTTATCTTAAAGATTCAAAGGAGGCTAGAAAAATGCCTAAATTTTGAAAGAATACAATTTCCTAATTCTAATTCTTGACCTTATTTCCTAGGAGTACCCTTTTACCCTTGAATTTCCTTCTTTTATAACTTAAAATTC